ACACAGACAAGGCCTTCGTGCAAATGGCCACAGTCAGAGCAAGAACATGATTGACTTACATAAAATCAACATATGTTAGCGCATCAGCTACAATATGACTACAAAGGTTAGGTGAAGATGTCGTTGAAATATCTTGCAAAGGACAGAACTATCTAATAAGAGTCTAAGCTTACTATGCCATTTACCACATGATCCAAAAGTTACTGTTTCATATGCTCTTATTCTCATGTTACAAATAGGCATGGGGTTCGTCATCACACAAAGTCACATGATCCCCACTCTGCCTACATCACATAAACAGACAAAACCTTTACTTTATTATTTTCACTGTATATTAACTCCACATTATGTTCATGTACTCACTAAAGCTGGGTGATGACTCTGGTGCAGCTTCAAGGACATGTTGTAAGTACCTCCAAGTCGTACTCCACTGTGACCTCTTGTTTCTCTGCAGCGTCCACTCCACTTCTCAGCCTTGTGTCAAGTGTCTCTCRCTGTAAGACAATTCAAAACAATTTCAATAAACATGAATTTCAATGACAAGTACTGCAGTAGTTGACTCCATTTACTTGGTGCCCTTCAACATCTGTTTGTCTTACTCACTCACTCAACATTGCTCACAAAGACATCATTTCAGTCAATCAATCACACTTGGAGAACATCAGTCGTTGCTACATTTACCAAGATGGTAAATTGTTCTCAACTCTTTTTAAGTCTTTATCTCACAAAGACMGAATTGTAAATTATTCCCAACAAAACATTAACACTTTAACAATTGCAGTCACACTACATTCTTATTTGCGTGAACAATACATCTATACGATAACAATGAACCCTACTGTCCATTCACGTGGAAGATCTGTCATCTCTAACCTTGGTTTGAAGCAAGACCTAACATTCTATTGATGATAGGCCTCTATCTTATATCTTGTTCTAATTAAAGGTACAGTGTGTAATATTTAGTGACAACAGCAGCTGATGCAGCTGAATGGTCCTCATCTCACCCTTCCCAACATGAAAGAGAACTGCAGCGGTCGACTGCAGCACTCAAGCCAACTAACAAGGTTTGTTGGACCACTACAACACATGGGGGCCTCCACATAGACAACCCCCCTCCATGTACATATTCACTTTGGCAAACTAAACAACAATTCACAACAGTCARAACATCACTATGCTTATTTGACATTCCATTTCTGCAAATAGATCCCTTTCACCTAAATCTTACACACTGAACCTTCAACTGACAAGACAACACACAAAAAAATATGAGGTCAATTATGTACTTAGATACAGAATATATACACTTCACAWTGATTACCATTTCTCTTTGTCCCTGTCTTTCTCTTCCTCGCCCCCCTTGAATTGTTTTCTTTTCATGTCTTTATCTTACAGAAATGCTCTCATTTTTTCATCATCATCATCATCACAAAAGTCATCATGTGAAAGGCCACAATCCACTGACAGTGTTTGTGTGCACACCAGAAACTACTGCTGTTTTGGATCGAGCAGGAGTTTCTGTTTCCTCCTCCACTCTGAGCTGCTCGCACTTTCACTAATAAACAATCATAATCATCACTGGTTTATTCTGTTCCCCGAGGACCTGATCAGTACATTACGTAACTTACTGCTTGTTTGATTGCACTGTTTACAAGACTGCTTTTAAACATCATGAACAATAACTCCTGTTGTGCACGTTACAACATGAGACGGGACACACACTCACGACTCAGAGATAAAGTCAACGCATCAACACTTACGATCTTGATCCTACACCATTGATTCATAACTAAACACATGATCATCATCCAAATAGTCCCAATACTACACTAAGCTAATGACTGTGACCTACTTCCTTTCCATCTGCATCAACTGAACGACATCTTTTCAAGTGCGAACTGACGCACCTCTACTAATAGTCCCTTGTGGATGGCACTTGCAGAGACACTACTTACTTGTAAATTACACACATTCTGATGCCATTTCAGCATATGAACTTTTAGAAATACATGAGTCATTCACAAAATACTACAAAAACCATCACCATAACTTCATTACTTTCTTTATAGGGCCCCTGTTACTTCAGGGCCAAAKGCTATTGCCAAACTTTGCCTACTGGTTAAGTCCCCATCTGTAATCASTAATGAAGAACTATTCTCTTTAATTTTATGACGCACTTTGACAAAACACCTGACTGGATGAACACAAACTTTTCAACCTTCTCTCTGCAGTGCACACAAACAACAGCAACTGACCGAACACTGTAGACGTGAATGATGACTCGCTAATGACAACTAATCATTTTGAAATGGCTCCAAACAAACAACTTTAAAACAAACACCACCTTAATATTATATATTATTGATGAGTATTCACCTTGAGTCGTAGACAATTGTGGTTGAAGCAGCATCAGCTCCGTCCATCTTCTGAGGATTTTCTCTCCAGTATCAAGAACAATGGAAACACCGTCGTCCTTCCCCTCCGGTCACACTGGTGTCTCTTCTGTGGAATACAACACATCATTTAGTTACATATAGTGAATGATAACTTACATATACAGTGTTTTCCATAGGACAATATAAATATAACATCCTGAAGTCCAGGAAACAACTCCTGTGTCAGARGCCTGTCCAATGTCCAACCGGATTCTACACTTCATAATTTGTTTTATTACTAATATGTGTCAAATGATGCCACAAACATTGATACATAAATGTGTCAGCATTCATTCTAAACACTCTGAGGTTTCMATCATTTTCACACATTCAATTGATTCATGTGACATACACATTAAAAATAAACAGGACCACATGAGCCACACACACATGAGCCAGACATCACAGCTTTTCACTTCATCACAAAGATTTACATTTCTATTCTATTCTATTCGTACTGCTCCAAATCACAACATAGCTTATCTCAAGGTGCTTTACAGACAACTTCCAGACCTTAGAAACTACCAAGAACCCCAACAATTCCCACAGTGAGCAACACTTTGGGGACTGATTCATTTCCAYTCAGGACATTAACAAATACAATAACATGAAATATCACATGTTTTAACAATACGGCACTGATTACTTATATTTAGTAGCATTAAAACCAAAACACTCAAGAGCTAAAGAAGACCTTTCACTTTACTCTTATTCAAAATAGAGATGTTGAGGTTAACCCATTTTACCATATCCTTGACATATACAGAAGGTACAGGGAGTAGAATTTAGTCATATCTACTGACATTGCATGTTGCAGCTGAACACCCCTCACCTCGCCCTTTCCTTCGAAAACATGAAAAAGAACCTGTGGTAGCTTCACTTGTCATAACAACTCAACAGGTGTTCACTCTGGACTAATGTACAAAGCATGGCAGCCTCCGCAGAGAGGACCCCCTCCATGTAAATACAATGTATTTCAATATTCGTGGCCTTTTCTACAGTTTATAAAACTACAGTTCATACAATTTAGATGACATGAACTAGTGAAAACATCATGAGGATTATTCGACATGWAATCTCTACCAATTGTTCCCTTTCACCTGAATCTTACACACTGGACCTTCACATGTCAGAGTTTCATCCACCAGGTAACAGTATAACAATAAGTATATAAGAAGGACATGAAGAAATGTGCCTTGAACCAGGACTGTTTACTTTTCACAACTCGTCAACACCTCGCTCCCAAAACAACTTCCATTACTGACCCTTCACAATAAAAGTCCCACTCGCATACTTCCTTCTATAGTATCACATCGTAAACCCTGATATTTCTTCGAACAATAAATGGAGCACCACAATTTCAAGATTCATCACATCCGTAATAAGTGACATTACATCTTCAGCCTCTTGTTTTTTTGCTCAAACACTCAGAGAATTGAATTCTACCTAATAAAAGCACCGTGTTTACTACAGGAGGAGGCGTGACCCGCGTGGAGAAGCTAGCGCTAGCCGCTGACGCTCAGCTGCTCATATAACACCACACACCGCGTGTCAACACCGTCAATCAGTGACAGAGGGACTAACGCAATGTGAACAACAGCGACACAGTGAATATGGTTCGAAACCCACCTCAGAGGATCAGCAGGACGGTAAAGTTCAGTCTGCGGAGGAGACGCGAGCAGCCGCCGGAGTCCAGACACAAACAATTCAGACCAGGAAGTGGAACCGGAAATGACGCAGCACGCATAGCTCAGTACGTCAGCACGTCCGCCAGGAGCCAAGACGAGCGGAAGTCCAAACACAGTTTATATAAGAAATTGAATTCATTTATCACAGAATAAATAAATAAAGATACATATCTTTTAAAACAACTCTTATGTACAATTGAAATCATATTTAGTTACAAACAATATCTTATAAACACTTTACAATGTGAATAATACTGGCTATAGATAGATCGATAGATGGACAGAAATAATAACAATAAAGCCTAAAATTCTAATAGTAGTAATAGCAGTAACAGTAGTAATGATGTAGTAATGAAGGCAGACATATATTTATGACTAGCATCATAAAAAGATCATGGTCCAATTAATCATATAAATATTATAGCATAGTGTAACGTCTAAAATGGCACGAAAATAATGTAGTTTGTCTTTGGTTTCCCACATCAATGAATCAATCAATCAATAAATGTCATAATTTATATGTGACAACACTGACACAGTGTGGAATTGCACAAAATAAAGAAGAGCGAAAGAGCAAAGCATTGAACTTTTTTATCTTGTATTTTAAGGCATAAAACTTTCATTCACTTGCATACAAATTGTCAACAGTGTCAGCACAATCACAGTGAGATTTAGGGGACTGAACTGTCATGAAGTCACATTAGAAGACAGGCTTTTCTGGCTTCTGGAATTATCGGGTTGTAGAAGTCAAACCTGCCTTCCTTTTTTCTTTCTTTCCATGACTTCTGGTCCTCCTCTTAACGCACACAGACACTTTGTGTGTATTGACATATGGTGAAAATCCTAGTACATCATACAATTCATAAAAACATAATTATACAGAATGAAATGTACGAGAAATGTGATGGTCAGACACATTTCTATTCTTCTCATCCTCACTGCACCTCACCTGGTTCAGCTCTGTGACCTGAAGACACAACAAAACAAAACAAAAAAATCATAGGTTAGTAGTATAGTGTCCAAAATGTCASATATATAGTATAGTATGGTGTGCAAGACATCATAGTATGGCATCTAAAATCACATAAAAATGTCAGTATGGTGTATAGTATGGTGTCCAAAATGTCCTAAAAATCTCATCAGATCAAATTGTCATTGTGTAGTATGACATAAAAACTAATTGAATAGGATGAGTACAAATGCAAAAAACACTATAAATATATCTATATTTATATTTCTATATAGTACGACCTAAAAACATTTCTAAAAGCTACAATATGCAACTTTTCACTTAAAACAGCAACTTTACTATTAGTTTGATGGTTCACTGATTTGGAATAGAGAGTTTGGTGTATTTGTTGCTGCGGCAATTTGTCTGGTTCAGGAGGGGGATTATGGGTAAAATCACTTCAGTGAYGGGGGGACTGCACATTAACGATAGACTTTGAGGGGGTTTTTCTACGTGAAAATCACTTCATCTCTCGGACACAGAGCCCAACAGGAGTGGGCGCTGTGGCTCAATAAGCTTCATAGTGTTGCTTGAAATATGCAAAATACATACATGTATACGTTGTATCATATGGCATCAAAACGTGAAAAACGTCACATACAATTACTCACGAATTTTACAGTTTTACACCATAAACACTCACACACGTATATATTATATTATAGATAGAGATACAGTGCATCCTCCCTTTCTCTGCACTYTTTGTTTTTTCAGTGTGGACCATTTTTGAGTGAKTTGACTGGAGAGGCTACTCTGGTCACCCGCCCACCCTTCTGAAGCCTGCCACTGCTGAATAATGCCAACCTCTCAATTCAGTTCACGTCCCTACCGCAGCATTTCAAAAGACACTTCATTTCATACTTGTTTACGGCTCTCTCCAGAGATCTAAAGTTCAAAATCGCATGCATTTTTAATTCCAAATTAAGCCAGGGAAGGAGGAGGAGGAGGAGGAGGAAAGAGGAGAAAAAAATCATGTTCACGTTGCCACATTTTGACAAACATGACCTCCCCTCGCTGGGGTGGAGGGATTATGCGGAACAAAAGTTGGCCCACTCTCCGTACCAGGGCTTAAGGCTATTGGGGCGACAGATTAGAATATCTTTCACCCTCTGAAGGAGATAAGAGAGACAGAAGCATCAGAAGCATCAGAAAACGGTGCAAAACATAATGAACTTGTGATCTCCCGCCACCAAAGAGCATGTGTGAAGTTGAGATTCATAAAGCTTCAAAACAGTAATGCAGATTTGTGGATCTTCTCTGCCCTGTTATGAAAAGCTCTACTTACGCATCTGCTAATGCTTAAAACATGATCTGGGTTATCAAAGGTTGGAAGAATCTTCCTGCTCATTGTCTTTTTCTGGAGGAGTCCACTTCCAGCCCAAGCTYTTCCCGCTCAGCTGGGTTGTTTTGTTGCCACATCTCGTTTCTTATTATCCCAGATAATTACAAATATGTCAGACKTCGAGCCGTGTGGCTGAAATGACACGGTGATGCATCTCACCCTCTCTCGCTCTCAATTAGCTCCCAGTGCTCCAGGTTAATGGAACTTTTGATTGGGGAAAACCCAGGTTTCCTGGACGCCCGGCTTTCCTGTGGAAGGCTCTTATGGGGGGAGTCGACCCCRTCCTTATCTTTGGCTGCACAAAGACGAGTTGCTCTGCTGCTCCTGTTTYTCACTGTGGACAAGTATAGATGTACCCAACCACCGTGCTTTTTACTTGGCTTCCTTTACATTTTGTCCCACTAGTAGCAGTTACCACCTCAKATGCTCTGTCATACTTCCCCAATCAAGAAAAGGCAGCAGACAAACTTCTTTATGWTTGAAGAATCTAATTCAGGGATCAAACCTCAGGTCAGCAATGTGTGTTTTAGATACAGCACCAGCCAAACTGCATATGAAAGAAAGTGAGCTGGTCTCAGCAGAACATWACAGGAACTTTATGACTCAGCACGTGAGGGACTGACTTCTATCCTTAGCTTTTTTTCAGAACCAGAATTCGGTGTATTTGAGCAAAGTTTGTTGCCGAATTTCTCTGTTGTTAAAACGAATGACTCTTTAGGTTTGACCCAATTCAGTTGATCCTTCAAAGACTCATTTAATAATAATGATAATAATTGTCAGAGATCCCTGCAGAGAGAGATAGAGACAATGAGAGGCTCAAACATAACACACAATTTAAATTATACAAAAAAAAACTATGAATTGCATTGTTTTACCTCATTCATGTTGGTTTGAACTAAAATGCAGCTGTGAACACAAACATGGGATATTATTCATGGACACAGAGTACTGACAGCATCTCTAGTCACACTGAGTATTCAACACAGATCTTGGCCAAACTAKAAGACAAGGGTTGCAACATTTCTATGTAGTTTTAAATCTGAGCACATTTTTGGAGACGTCGACACCCACATTTCCCAGAGTAAGACGTGGATTACAGCCGGTCCTGGATTCACAATGGCCAGCAGCCTCASACTGTTTTCTCCTCGGCGGCTGGGCAGCGAGGTCAGTGAGATTACTGGACACGCAGTCGGCGCTCGAGTTCAACATCCCTCCAAACAAAATCCGCTATCAGAGGATGRCACGAAACACCAGCCCGCAGGGCATCCTCCTCCTTTTCTTCCTCCTTCCTCCACCACTCTGGAGGAAACGCATCACTGAGTTTCACTTTAGTTTGTTTGCGGCCATGTTGGAGGCAAGGTGACAAGAGCAATACAAGAGAAACATTCCTGTAATTTCCAAAAACAGCTTTAGGTGGAATTGTTCTCCATGGGGGAAAAGCTGCCACCTCTCTTTCTTCTTCCCCTCCTCCCCCCTCAATTTACCTAACTCGCCAACAAAAAAAGGGGGAGATTTACCCACACACACCAACAACCCTCCTGAGGAGTGGCTGGCGAGCACTGGAGAAATGCACCCTGACAATCTCCCCTTCCCTCCGGCGGCTGGATGCCAGAAAGGAGCGCTGTTTCTTCTGAGAGATCTTTTACCAAAGATGCCAGGGATTAAGAAAGAAAAGACTGCAGGACACTGCTGTGTCACCTAGCATTAAACAGCCCTAAACTCTCCGGTTATGAGATACTCTGTGCAAAATAGGTCAGGCCTGGCAAAATAGGGAGAGGAAAAAAGAGTTTGATATTGTTTCTTGCTTTTTCCTCTGAGACCTGGTGTCTTCTGGACTCTTCTCTTGGTGGATGGTGCCTGCAAACACACAACAGGCTTTAGTCACACTCGTTCACATACATGCAAATCACATCCATCTTTACTGGCAACCTGCTCATGATAATCAGTTTTCAGGAGTCCAAACAAATCTATTATTTGAGGATATAATATATCATATATAATACATCTTTGAATCTACGGTTATGGAAGAAAGAAAAATATGAATACAGGTTTTAAAATCCTGGTAAAATTTCAACTGTGAAAGAAATAAAATGGTGGTTCCTCCACAAAACAACAAGTAAGTCAAATGAAAAAGGGAAGACTAGTTTTATCAGAATGATTTCATGGTGACACTAGTAAAATAAGTGGCATGTCAATCTAAAAACTTGGCCGATTGAATTTGGTAAAGATTTTAAGATTCCATATTAATGCTGAGCTTCAGATGGACTCGTTAATATCAAATTATGGTTCTGTTGCTTATGTCATTAAATAGTTTMGTCAGATTAAAAGTTCCACTTGTGTAGCTTTTTTTTTAATATAAAAAATGATTCTWAATCTAAATAGTTGTTGATTCATTTTCTTGACTTGAGTTTAATATGATCTTTACAGAAGTGAAATGCATCTGTGTTCAGACGACAAACTTGATGCACTTTGAGTTTAGTTTTTGGGGATTTCTGAGATTTCATGAAGGAGTTCAACTCTGACCTCTACAATGTTTAATTGAGACTCCCGTGATGAGTTTTGACTTTGATTGCTTTCTGAATATTTTAGTTTTTACTGAATGGCTGTTTGTTAACATACAGACAGGAGGCATGGGGGAGTAAGRAGGAGAATACGTACATAGAAACAGTCCGATTCCAGCTGTTGTAGTTGTGGTTTACGCATCTTAATCACTAGGTCACCAGGATGCCCTAAAAAGAAACTTGGTTGACAAAGCCACTGCTCCTCTTTCAAGTTGCGTCTGGTCTTGCATTTTGGAAGAAAAGCAGCCAAAAAGTTTCCCGTTGTCATCTTTGCGAAGCCGCTCGGCCCAATCTGAATAATTCAGCGGCTGCCTGGTCGAATGCAAACAAACGGAATAAAACATAGATAGTTATGAGGCATAAATATGAACAAACAGCATCTCAAAGCATTAAGGAAACACGGAGCGTCGGGGGTTTGGAGAGACAGATGAGGACAGTGTGTTTGACTGGTTGGACGGAGCCGTTACCCCCCCACATCTCCTTCAGCCCCCTAATGATGTGTGGYCTGTCATAGAGACGTAGCCAAATTACATTCAGGACTACAAAGCCTTCATCCGAGGTTTGCTCTCTCTGTGCAACACCCTGCAAAACAATAACTGGGATTCAGCAGCTGCAAATTGCACTAAAATTTCCCAGTCTCTTTCTGTGAATTATTAATGAGAGCCAAACCAAAAAACACAAAAAAAAGAAGGAAAGAAAAGGAGGAGGGGGTATCTACAGCATGCCYGAGCATTGGAGAATGCTGTAATTATGCCAGAGAATGAGAAATGGAACAAAGTTGTTGGAGCCAGAAAAAGACAGGCAGAAACCGAAACTAAGAGCTGGAAATTTCGAGCTGCGAGTGTGAGGAGAAAAGTAGATTTATTACATTTGCAAAATGATCAACACACAATTAAAAATGGAGAACAACAGAATTTGCATTTGTCTCCGTCAGGTTTGCTTCTGTGTGAAAGTGAGGAGAAATGTGACAGAGGGGGTGAAAACGCCAAAATATACAGGACGTGTTTTAGGATGAAACTGTAACTACAAACATGTTTTAGGAGTTTGAACTTGGGGACGTTAAACTCAAGCTTTGGCAAAAAAAATGAAGAACAGGATGTGATGCAGGATTTCTCTTAACAGTGACAAAACACCACCTGATGCTTAAAAACCCCAAATGGGAAAAGATCTTCATTGACAGTTTATAAAGTCTAATTTTTTCCAATCAACTGCATTGCTAAGTGATGTGCTGTAATCTTCCACATTATAGATCGGTGTTGCCCTGGAGTGAATGAGGTCTAGGGGACAGTGGGGCATTCTTAAGGAGAAAGAGACAAAACAAGTTGCTGTTTCAGGGGGTGGTCTTTAACATGCTGCTGAATCAGCGGCAGCTCGAGTGACAGTTAACWACCTCTTAGCAAAAACGACATTTTATCTCAGCACGATTACRCGTCTGCTCAACTTGGAATATGTTGTTAAATACTCGAGTTACGTTTAAGGGAGAACTGCATCTGCTCTGAAGAAAAGTCAGTCTGCTCTCAGTAAAATCTTTCCAGCCTCACAAGATTCTAATTCTCCCACTCCTCACCTTCTGACTTTGGAACGTTCAGATCAATTTTAGGTGTGTTGCTTTGAAAAGTGTGTTCCGTGCGACAGGAGAAAAAAAAAATGTCAGTGTGATTGCATCCACACATAAACATACATAGTGGTCGTGAGCAGCCAAAGTATCTCTCTCTCTCTCCAACACACACACACACACTTCAACCGAGGGCCTGGCAAGGATCCTCTGCACACAGGAGGCAGCGTCGTCCCTCAGGGATCCATAACCAACCAAATACCTCAGAGAGAGAGAGCGAGCAGCTCGTTTACCCAGCTGGGCCACAACACTCTCTCACTCTGCATGTGTGTGTGAGTGAGTGTGTGTGTGTGTGGGGGGGGGGTCGACCAGATGACACGGGCGACTCTCGGCATACTGTGATGAGGTTCACCACCTGATGAGGAGAGCCAGAGAAATCTGGTTGATAAACGAGTGTGTAGATACAAGATAAGGACAAAAGTATGTGGACACAACATTAGACCCATGAATTCTGACAAATAAAATTCACAAACACTGTTTACAAATCGTCACTGAGCTAGAAGCTGCTTATTTTCTTTTAATGGTAAAATCGAGCAACTTTGGAGGAAACATTGAAAAACAATTTGGATTTGGAAAGAACCTTTAAATCTGAAATATTTCCTTGTCAACATTAATCACTGCAAATCAAGATTTTCAAAGTATATGGTATATATTTGGYGCTATACAAATAACATTGAATTGAATTGAATGATATGTTAATYGAATATACTGCCATATTCATAATATTCAGACTTTTTGTGCCTTCTGATATCAAATTGCTTCTCTTTGATTTTTGTTGCAGTTGAGACGAGTTTCATCACATTGGACATTTTCATGGTTCAGTGAACTGAGGTGAGTTTAATTTGTAGAAGATATTTTACCTGACACACTTCCTGTAAACTCCACCTGGATGGGGTCAAAGGTCATTGTGTGTGTGTGTGTGTGACTCAGGGTTTTAAAAAGCTGTGGTGGATGATGCTGTTGCTTGGATTTCAGTTATTTCCTGGTGCTGTTCTGCCCTCTACTGGTGGAAGTGTAGCTGGTTGACTGAGATGCAGAAGGTGTTTTGTCGTCAGTAATTATACATTTTATAGCATGAGATTTTACTTAATCTTTGTTGGATTACATGATATTATTCATACTATTTAARTCATATTTTATGTATTTCAAGTCATACGAATAATTTTTTTTTGAAAACCTGAAAACAAGGCATGAATTTCAACTGTGATAAAGTATTGTGAAAAATACAGTACTGTAAAAAAAAATTATATGTGGAGTGATCATTGATCAAATCATAAAATAGAAAAAATGTAATTCAAATTCAATCAAACTGCACCAATGCACTGCAGCTGTACACTCCTAAATATGTTTTTGTTTATCAAGATCCATGAATTGTTCTCTGAAAAAAAAAACTGCTAAAATATTTCACAATATTAAAAACAAGTGATTTGCCCCTGATCTGAAACAGCACCAATATGTAATGGGATCCTCACTGACCCATATCCCTCCACAGAAATCCATCTGGTCATTTTAACATAATCACTCAGTTAACACAGTTTATTTGTTTAGCCCATATGTAGAAGTCACATTCTTTCTCATGGGGCTTAATCCTGTTTACGAACAAACAGACAGACAGGGGTGAAAACATAACTACCTTGGCAGAGGTAACTAAA